CTTGTTCATTTTAGCCATTCTGACTGGTGTGAGGTGGTATCTCATTGAGGTTTTGATTTGGATTTCCCTGATGCCGAGCAATGTTGAGCACTTTTTCATGTGTCTGTTGGCCATTTGGATGTCTTCTTTGGAAAAATGTCTGTTCATGCCGTAAGAGACTCTTAAGGATAGAGAAAAAACTGAGGGTTGATGGAGGGAGGTGGGTGGGGGATAGGTTAGATGAGTGATGACGATTAAGGAGGGCACTTGATGTGATGAGCACTGGGTGTTGTATATAAGTGATGAACCACTGAATTCTCCTCCTGAAACCAATATTGCACTGTATGTTAACTAATTAGAATTTATTTTTTTTTAAGATTTTATTTATTTATTGGACAGACAGAGACACAGCAAGAGAGGGAACACAGCAGGGGGAGTGGGAGAGGGAGAAGCAGGCTTCCGGCTGAGCAGAATCCTGGGATCATGACCTGAGCCAAAGGCAGATGCTTAACGACTGAGCCACCCAGGCGCCCCTAACTAGAATTTAAATAAAAATTTGAAGAAATAAAATGTGATATTTGAATAGTATTTTATATGGACAAAGACCACACTTTCGGTCTCTTGCACACTGTTTCTATTTGATATGCAGTCTGCGGGGGGAGGGGACTTTCTGAAGTCAGTTTTTTTTTTTTAAGTAATCTCTAAACACCCAGTGTGGGGCTAGAACTCACCACCCCAAGATCAAGAGTTGCGTGCTTCACCGACTGAGCCAGCCAAGCACCTCTGAAGCCAGTTTTATACACAGAAAAAGGACCGTTAAGACCTCTTTCATATATATATATATATATAAATTAATACTTACTTTAGTTACAAATCCACAAATCTAGCTTCCCTTAACCTTTGTTTTATTTTATTTACAAATCTAATTACTTTTATTTACAAATTTAATAAAATTTAACTATTACTGTAAGGGGGAATTTCACCATTCACTTAATTTAATTATCTTAAACACTTTAGATGACTTTTACAAACTTAATATATTTAATTTTCTTTTCAGGTATTTCAACTATGTACAAGGCTACGTAATTCTTACAAATATAGTAAATTAAGTTTACTTTTATATTCCTTTCAATTTAAACATAATTCTAAATCAGTTACTTGATCATACATTTTAAGTTAGAATCATAAAACTAATATTTGTGTATTCAGATAAGCTAAATCGTAAATATTTTATGTACTTATAGCAACATAGCCAAAGCATTCTTAAATGTATCATGCACTTTAATAGTATTAAAATATTAATGAAATTAATAACCCATATTATTTTATAGTTTCCAAAAATAAAAAGATATTTACTGGCATAGAGAGCGCCTTGGTGGCTTAGTCAGTTAAGCCTGGGATTCATGATCTCAATTCAGGTCTTGATCTCAGGGTAGAGAGTTCAAGGCCCCTCTTGGGCTCCACGCTGTGCATAGAACCTACCTAAAAAAAGAGAGAGATTTACCTGCATAAGACAATAAGGCATTCCCTAGAAGGTTAAGATTCACCATGAACCAAGAGATGCATCTATCTACCAGTGATATTGCTGAAAACCTGACTGTAATGATCACATCACATGCCCTATTCTTGGGCCAGAACTTAGCTTGACCAGCCCCGTTGGTTTGCTCCAGTTTCTCACTGTGAGTCAGACTGAGATGAACACGTCGGCCTCAGTAAGCTTTGTGTTTTTAAGATTTTATTTACTTATTTTCTAGAGAAAGAGAGCACGCGCAAGCATGGGGAGGAGCAGAGGCAGAGGGACAAGCCAACTCGGGGCTGAGCGCTGACTTGGGGCCGGATCTCAAGACCCTAAGATACTGACCTCAGCCAAAACCGAGTCCTTCCCTCAACCGACTGAGCCACCCAAGCGCCCCAGAGCTTTGTGTCTCTGACTGTATCCTTAGGATAGCTGTCTAGAAACGTATGGCCCTTTTTCAGGACTCTTGATGAATATTTTCTGATTGCCTTCCCAAAAGTGTGTCACTGGCGTGCATTCCATGAATATTGCATTATCACCACCGTCCCACCACATCCTCTGCAGCACCGAGTATAATCTTTACTGTTACTATTATCATCATTATCATCATCGCCTCTGCCAATTTGAGCGTGGCAAATGACGCCTCGTTATTTGGGGTTCATTTATTCCGTTGCAAGTGCGGCTGAACGTGTTTCGTACGTTCACTGGGCACGCAGCTTTCTGGGTGTCCCCCGCCTTGGCCGCCAGGTAGGATGCAGGTAGGTAGGGCTGAGCGCGCAATTCCGGGCCCCGCGGCCAGGGGGCGCTGCCACCCAATTTCCCCACCCCCACCCCTCTACCCACGCCCCGTCCGGGCTGGGGCGGGCAGGGGGGCGGGCAGGCGGGGCCGCAGGCGCAGGCGCGGGCGGGGCGCTAAGGTTGGCGTCTTGTCGCCCCGACCTTCGCCAGCGGGTCAGTAGCATCATGACGGTGGGAGCCAGGCTCCGAAGCAAGGCGGCGAGTGGTTTCCTGCGCCGCGGGCCCCGGGGGCGAGCGCGGGCGGAGGGGGACGAGGAAGCGGCCGCCCTCCTGGAGCAGCCGGAGCGCGGGGACGAGGCGGCGAGCGGGGCGAGCGCGGGGCGCCCGGGGGCCCGCAGCGCGCGCACGGTGCACCTGGCCGTCCTCCCCGAGCGCTACGAGCCGCTGGACGAGCCGGCCGCGGGCGAGAAGCCCAAGAGGAGATACCGGCAGAAGCTGAAGAAGTACGGCAAGGTAGGGCCCCACGCCTGCCACCGCCCGCGGGCTCGGGGTGCGGGCGGCCCGACCCCCCGCTTCCTGGCCGATCGCCCGGAGTGCGGCGGTACGGTCCCCACCGGCCGGCTGCGCGCAGCTTCTCTGGGCTGCCCCTGCGTGCCCTGGCCAGCAGTCGTTAACAGACACCGAAGAGGGTTCCGTCTGTCGACTGGGAGGTGAAGGAAAACTAAATCGCAAGTAATGACAGGAGCCAAACCGGAGCTTTGCGGGGGGGGGGGGGGGGGGCACCAATCCACCCGCCCCTCTGGGGCTGGCCGCTTGGTCACATTCCCAGCAAGTCCCAGCATTCCCCGTGGTTCTCATCCTGGTGTGTCTTACACTCCCTTGCACAGTTGGTAGCACAGAAATCCGTGTCCCTGTTTTACAGATGGGAATACTGAGGCATTTGAGTGGTTAGGTGACTTACATAAGGTGACCCAGTTGGAAAGTAGGGAGTTGCAGGCCAATTCATCTGTTCTCTGGCAACATCCTCTCCAGGATATCCCACCAGCTGAGAGTTGTTTGGTTATTCTCCTCAAGTATTCCCAAGGTTATTTCCAGGGCCTGGGAGCTCAACAATACATAAATAGGCGCTTGTTGAATCTACTTTTCTCTTCCCCCAGCTGGCTATCGGTGTACTCTGGGACCTGCAGACATACTACTGCCTTTTGCCTTGGGAGCTGGGGGGCAGAGGAAAGAGGGGAGACAGGAGGAGAGAGAGAGAGAGAATATGAATATGGGATAAAATGACAGTGTCCTTCTCAGAGATCAAAGCCCAAGGCAGTGCCCAGGTGCCTCTCCCTGGGATCACTTGAAGCTACTTCTGCCCCAGCCCCTTGGGGCTGGACAAGGCCACCCAAAAGATCATCATAAAACTCACTGTGTCCTGGCCAAAGGCCCCATCTGATTCACGGTCTCATTATCTGTGTCCTCCAGTGGCCTCTTAGCCGATCTAAAACCATCTGGTCTCTGCTCCTAGAAACTTAGGTGTATCATCCCCTGTAAAAGCCCGTCAGCGGCTTTGGGCCCAGCGTACGGGCAGGCAGTGAGTGGTACAGGATATTACTAAAAACTCTGAGGTTGGGACTCTCAGGCTCAGAGTCCTGCTAGAACTGATTACCCGTTTCCTGGTCTCAGTTGAGCACAAAGAAACCACCACTGGCCTCTCAGTGGGCGAACGGATACTGTACATCTCAGGTCAGGCTGGCACCTGAAGATGGTTTTTGGGTGCTCATTTCATGCAGGGATTGTGCTAACCACCAGAGATCAGAAACCAGATATAGTGCGGTCCTGCCCTAGTGAAGTCCATGCCTGCCAGGGAAATCCCGACCTGGCAGAGTCGGGGCGCCACCACGGAGCCTCATGGTACAGAGTCCTCAGGGATGAGGCTGTAAAGTCAGGGACAGTTTGAAATCAATGGTGACATGAGAACTTGGCAGAGAAGATTGAGGTCTCACAGGTTAACGACGAGGTACTACCTCACACTCACTAGGATGGCTATTATTTAAAAAACAAAGAACAAAAAATAGCAAATGTTGGCAAGGATGTGGAGAAATTAGAATTATGCAGATTGCTAATGGAAATGTAAAATGGTGCGACTGCTGTGGTTTACAGTTTGGAGGTTCTTCCAAAAATTAAGCATAGAACTACCATATGATTCAGCAATTCAGCTCCTAGGTATATACCCAAAATAATTGAAAATAAGTACTGAAATATACATATATATATATATTTGAGAGAGAGAACATATTCACATGTTCGTTGCAGCATTATTCAAAATAGCCAAAAGGTGGAAACAGCTGGTAAATGATAAACAAAATGTGGTGTATACATATGGTGAAATATTACTCAGTCATTAAAAGGAAGTTTTACGGGCCACAACGTGGATATGATGGAGGCTGGCTGGAGGGTCCTTGGCTCCGTGCAGGATGGCACTCAGAACTCGAGCCAAGAGGAAGTGAAAGCAGAGTTTATTGAAGACACAGAGAATATAGATACAGAGTGTCTTGGAGACCTGGAAAGAAAAGTGAGTCTCATCTGGGCATGGGGTTTTTACTGAGACCTGGCGTTTTTACTGAGGATAATGGGCTGGTGCAAGTGTCTTCTCAGGCATCTAGGAACAAAGACGAGTGTTGGGGTGTCCTTCATAAGTCATTTAGGCCCTGGAGCCAGGGGTCTTGATGAGTCAGCGGTCTGGGAACCACTCTGCCTGGTCACTCCTTAGATGTTACCTATTGTGCTGGGAGCCTCCAAAGCAATTATTAAATCCTTGACCTTTACATGGAGAACATACAGTATCTGTTCTATAAGGTGTGTGAAGGGCGACAGTCTAGGTCCTGGCCAAAATAGAAGCAGGAAAAAGAAGGAAAAAAAGCAGTTTTTCATGGGGTCCCTTTAGTTTCCCTGTCTCAGATGAACCTCGAAAACATTATGCTAAGTGGAAAAAACCAGACACACGGGATCACATACTGTATGCGGGTATGATTCCGTTTCTATAGAATATCCAAAATAGGTAAATGCAGAGAGAGGGAAGCAGATGGGTGGTTGCCAGGGACTGGGGAGAAGGAAAAATGGGGGGGCAAGTGTGTAACAGGTGCAGCCCTTCTTTTGGTGATGGTGAAGATGTTTTGGAAGTAGGTAGAGGTGCTGGTCGCACGACACCGCCAATGTACTAGATGCTACCGAATTTTTCACTTTAAAATGGTTAATTTTTATGGCAGCAAAAGCTTGGTTGTGTCTCACCCTAGCTCAGTAGACACCGGAAGCCATATGAGAGGACACTGTCCAATTAGGGTTGGATGTGCCCTCTCTGCCTTCGACTTCCCACCTTCTTGGAGGTGTCTGGGAAGGTAACCAGTTAGGTCCCAACAGGGAGGAAAGAGAGGAGCCCGCCCCTCTGCTGAAAATGGACGGCAACAGCCAAGCCTCCGCTAGAGGTGTGGGGAGGTAAGTCTCCAGGCTTTAGCCAGCATGTGAGTCTTTCCTTTTCCTGGGCCCAGTGGAGTAAGGAGGGACCTGTGGGCACGCCACATTGTTGTTGGTTGTGGGGTTTTGTTTTTTTTTTTAAGATTTTTATTTATTTATTTATTTGACAGAGAGACACAGGGAGAGAGAGGGAACACAAGCAGGGGCAGAGGGAGAGGGAGAAGCAGGCCCCCCGCCGAGCAGGGAGCCCGATGCGGGGCTCGACTGCAGGACCCTGGGATCATGACCCAAGCCGAAGGCAGACGCTTAACGACTGAGCCACCCAGGTGCCCCTGGACGCGCCACATTGTTAATGGATGGCTTTTCCTTCAAGGAAGGGGGCTTGGCAGTTCCTAATCATCTGTTCACCGCTCAAGCCCTGCACCCGAGTGTCTTCCTGCTTCTGTTTAAAGAGAAGCATTGGGCCTTTGTGACATGCGAAAGCGTTTCTCCTCTCCTGCTGCCCTGGGGTCCCAGCCAGGCGCAGGCCCCAGTGTCCAGCTGGTCCAGCCTCTCGAAGGAGGCTCGGGGCTCGGGGGCTGTGTGCCTGGACTCTTGCCCAGCAGCGTTCCCTGGTCATTTGTAAGTAATGATGCTCGTGTTCACGTGGTGCTTTCATTGTTCGGAAAGGGCCATTTTCTGGGTCCAGGCGAGGGGAAGGAACAGATGTTTTGTTGTTCTGCTGCAGCATGCCAAGAGCTCTGCTGCACATTTCATGGGTGAGACCCCTGAGTCATGCCCAGAACCTTGGAAAGCGGGGGGCCCCCCACCATTTTGCAGCGGTGGAAGCTGGAGTTTAAGGAAGGTGTGCTGTTCGAGGCCGTACAGCTGGAGGGTAGCCAGGCTGGGAGGCAGGAGTCTCACCTGGCAGTTGGGTTGAGGGGACTAACCCCCAAAACTTAAGATGAGAGGTCGCCTTTCCCAGGCACCCCTGAGAGCCGCAGGAGGGGTGTGGATGAGGAAAGTAAGTACATTTCGTCCATCAGGCAGCTGGGAGGGGGTTGGAGGGGGTAATACAATGTGTGGAGTAGCCTTTAGCTCAAGAGGGAGAAAAATTGTCCTCATGCTGGAGGGTGGCAGCAGGTAAGGACAGGGGCACCGGAGCCCGGCTGCCAGGCTCAAGCCCTGCCCTGCGCCCTGTTGGTTTGGTGACCTTGGGCTGGGCCCACCACTTCGCCTCAGTTTCCTTATGAGTGGCATGGGGTAGATCGAGGGTTATGGGCAAGAGGGATCTCCGAGAGATCTCCAAGCTCGCCTGGCAGGTGGCAAGGCTTTTGTGACTGTTGGCTGCTGGCTCAGGGTGAAGGAGAGACCCTGTAGGACTGTTGACTTTCTGATTCGTTTTTAATCAGAACACAGTAACTCAGAAAAAAACCTCCGTCTGTAGCTGATCGCCTGGCTCAGCGTTGTGCCTCGGTCCTCACCACATTTCAAAAAACTGAAGACTTGATCTTCATATTCAGGGGAAAGTGATCTTTGTTGGCAGCCGGGTTTTTGTTTTTGTTTTTGTTTGTTGGGGGTTTTTTTTTTTTTTTGAAACTGGAGGGGGCAGGGAATCCCTGACTTCCCTGGGGGTTAGTTGAATCCAGAGAACCCCCAGAAAGTGTGGCATCCCCGGACAGCTGTAATAGATCACCACCAACGCGGTGGTTTAGGACCAACACCCGCTGTACAGGTCTGGGGGCCAGAAGTCCGAAATCAGTGTCACTGTGCTAAGGTCCGCAGGCTGGTTCCCCTGGAGGCCCCAGGGAAAAACCAGTTACGATGCTCTTTCCAGCTTCCAGGGTCCCCATCCTCCCGCATCCCAGCCAGCAGTGCAGGTCCACAGATCTCTCTGTTGTGACATTGCCTTCTGTGTGACTCCTGTGTCCCTCTTAACAGGGACAGTGGTCCTCCTTTGCGTCCTTATAATTATGTAGCGGCCCTTATAATGATTGGCCCCACCTGGATAATCCAGGACCATCTCCCCCATCTTAAGATCCTTAATTTAATCACATCTGCAAAATTCCTTTGACCCTATAAAGCCACATATTTACAGGTTCTTGGGACTGGGGGGGCATTCTTCAGCCTACCCGCTCCCCTGGGTCCCCCATGCCTCACTGCTGCTCCAAGAGATTATTTGGGTTGAAAATAATGTGGTTGTGGTTGACCCACATCAAAGAATACAAAACCTCCCTCAAATGACACCGAAGTGGTCATCGATAGCTATTTTACATTTCTTTGTATCACTTTTCTCAAACCTGTGTTTTGACAGTATTCCAGCTAATGAGCTATTTTAGTAGCTTTTTTCTAAATGGCAAAGATGAAGCGACGAGCAGTTTTTGCAAATAGCACGCTGAGGAAAGTGGATGTCCAAGGGCCAAAAATGTCAAGTTTAGTGCAGGCCATCCGTGATTCTGGTTGGCATTGCTTATAAAGGACCGTAAAGGACTGTTACACTTGCTCCCAGAGAACAGTCTTTTTGTTACTGTTATTTCAGGGAGGGAAGTAAAATTCTCCCACTGGATCTTATACATTTAAGGAGATGTCTCTCTTAGCAACCTCATGCCACCCTCCACCCCACGCATGTACCCTAATGTCTCACTGAGAAGTCAGTGGGCACAATGCCAGGAGTCAGTGTCTAGAGAAACCGTAGATGTTACCTGGCTCTTTCCCGGGGCTCCTTATGGAGGCTTTGAGGTTCCAAAGGAAAGATCTGGGCCCTTTCTGGGTGCTGGGGCTCCAGCAAGGAGCACAAGAAAGCCCCTTCATCTGGGAGAGAGGGAAGGTCAGCTTGCTAGACAGACAGACCAGGTTTGCCAGGCAGCGCTGGCCCTGAGCTTTGTGATTGTGATCAGGGGTTTTGAGTGAAACCAGGAATTTTAGGTGCGTATTGGAGTTGCGAAGGTCAGGGGGCTGAGAGACAAGGTGGGTGGTAGGGTCCAAGTCACCCACATGGATGTTGACGTCATTGAGAGTGACGACGAAAGTTGGGGGTGGGAAGCAGAAGGGGGGGTGGGGTGGGCAGCACCATCGATATGAGTGGGGGGGGGTCTCTCTGCTTCCTGTTGCCATTCCATTTGAATCCCTGGGATGTCCCCCGTCCAGCGCCAGGCCCTACAGAAAAGGAGCAGATAGCGAGAAAGCAGGGCGTAGTCGTTACCTTCAGGGAGTTAATCATGGTACTGGAGGATGCAGCAGTCCGAGAATAGCGGGAGACTTTGGAGATGGGTACGGGTTGGACAGGAATCTGCCCTGGAGGTAGAGGGTCGGCAGGGTGGGCTTTCAGATAAAGGTGAAGGGAGGAACACTAGGCCCAGCTTCCAGAAGATGCAGTGACTGGGCTGGAACAGAGAAGAGTAGGCTTTGGCTTAACAATAAAACCAGGGGCGCCTGGCTGGTTCAGTCAGTAGAGCACGTATGGGACTCTCGATCTCAGGGCCCTGAGAGTTCAAGCCCCTGGTGGGCATGGAGCCTACTTTGACAACAAAACCGGTTTGGTGTCCGAGCTAGCAGCCTCACTACTGTTGGCTTTCACCTCCCTGGCCAGTGGTCCAGTGGCAGCCCCTGGGTCATCCTGGCGGAGCATCTAGCACGGGACCCATGGGGCGCTGACCTCTGAATCAGGACGTCCGAGCTATCTGGAAATGTGCAGCGCTTGAAAGTACTTTGCAAGATGATTTGCCCTGAGAGAATGCGGCAGAATGGTCCTTTACGTAGGTCACTATGGCGTGTGAGGGACTACAGAGTTGCCTAACACGCCCCTTTGCTTTTCTCTTCTCTCCTGAAAAACAGAATGTTGGGAAAGTGGTCACCAAGGGATGCCGCTACGTGGTCATCGGCCTGCAAGGCTTCGCTGCGGCCTACTCTGCCCCGTTTGGAGTAGCCACCAGCGTGGTCTCGTTCGTCCGCTAGCGGGAGCTGCGGAGACAGACTCACCAGCACGGATGGAAGCTCCGCTCTGGGACCATCTCAGACCTGAACCCACAGAATCCTTGGAGGAAATCAATGTCTTTCCTTGTTGCATTGGATGAATGTTAGGAATGGAACGTCCTTGCCCATCTGCTGAGCTTTTTTCATGACTCTAGGACACCCATGGCTCCGAGGGACAATCCCGCAGAGAATCAGGCCCATGTTAGGTTTGGGGTTACAGTGTGCAAACACCGAAGGCTTCATGCGGAGGTGGCGGGGGGCTGACCCGGAGGCAGACACCTGGCAGACGGGAGCACTCTGGGTGGGTAGCGGAGGGGTGATTACAAGGCGGGACAGAGATTTTGACGATTTGTTATGTTCTGGAAGGGTCGCAGGCTGACATGGCCCTCACAGCCCTTGGCTGCCTCGGTTCTGGGGCCAGCAGAGGAGCTGTTTGTCATGTGCCCCAGCTCCTTTCTCCACCCCTTTGTCACCAGGGGTATAATTATGGGCTTGAGAAGAAGAAGGAAGGAAGGAAAATCTCTTTGAAGGTGGGGATGCTTTGAAAACTGTTGATGACGTGTATGACTGTTTAAAGCAGATAAAGCTTGTGATTCCCCCCCCCGCCCCCCCGCCCCGTGACAGGAATGTGTTGCTGGCCTGGTGGGAGGAAGGGGGCGCAGAGGCAGGCCAGGTGGGCTGTAGAGGGGGCTGGAGGGAGCCATGCTATGGGGCCCAGGCCAGGCCTGTGGCTGGCCGATGGCCGGGCCTCCTGACTCAGCTGCCAGGCACCATCGCCGACTGCATCTAGCCACCCAGAGGTGTTTTGTCTTGGGAGAGAGGGAGACATGGTGCCTGGCAAGGAAAGTGTGTGATTTAACGAAGGAACCAGTAAGTAGGAGACAGGTGTGCTGGAAGTAGAAAGATGGTGGACAGGAGGAGCGGAAAGTGGGGATCCAGGCCTGGTTTATAAGCCCTGGGAAACCTTAGGTGGGCTGGGCTTGCAGCTCCGGGTAGGGACCAGGGATGCTGGGGGGCTAGGGGTGCCATGGCTGGTGCTGAAAATCCCCCTGAGGCCCATGAGCTCTCACTGGCTACCTTTGTAGAATCCTTTCCTCTTTGGGGCTGCCAAGCTGGTCTGCATCTCACCTGGATTCAGAGCTCAGCGCCGCGTGGGTCCTGAGCAGGACAATCCGCCCGGGATGACCCAGGGACTGCCATTGGATCATTGGCCAGGGAGGGGAAAGAAAGAGGAGGCTCCTCTTACCGTACCCCTCCGCCAACCCCCTGCTAGGCCCCTGTTCGGACTGTTGCCAGAATATCCAGAAGCCCAAATAGTTGTTGCTGGTCAGTCTGTAGGGTGGGCGGCAGCACCTGCGTGTTGCCCTGAGCAGTTCCCCAGGCCTTGCAGAGGAGGCCTCGGTGCTCATGCCTCACCGGTCAAGCCAACCAGGTGGCACCAGAACGTGGAGAAGGTGGCTGGGGAAGACAGACAGATGGACAGAAAAAGGAACCGGTGTAGGAGAGAGTTGTAGCTAGACATTCTGGAGGCTCATGTTGAAGATGAACTTAGATCCAGTTCTGCATCATTAATATTTGTGAGGAAAAGAGAAAACAAACGGTCTTGTTTTCACTCAAATGCTGAAAGAGGGTAACAGCTGGCTTGGGCACACTGAGACTCGGGGAAGAGAGACCAAAGTGGAAGGAAAAGCCAAGCAGAGTTTAGTGGGAGAGCCAGGCCTCCGTGGCCCACAGGTGACAGGAGGAGGCGGCCTGTGATGGGCTCGGAGCATGTCCCTCCCCGGCGGCCCAGGGATGCTGACCCGCCCTGGAGAAGTCAGCTGAGTCCCCTCCGAGGAACAGAAGTGTGACCCTGGAAGGGACCAGAGCTGCCGAGGCCTGTCCGATGAAGACCTTCCCCATCCCATCCCCAAAATGGAGACACTATCAGGCCAAGTATATTTGGCCCAGAAACTGGAATCGTCTGATTAAGAATCAGCCTAGAAATGTCATCAGTCAGAACCTCGCAGGGATTGTCTCGGGAGCCAGATGCCTGTGTACAGAAGATGACCTTGTCCAAACTCCCGGAGGGTTCATTTCCCCCGGGGACAGGGCATCCGTGTTGCAGATTACCTTGTTGCCTGCTTCTCTGTCTTCAGTTTTGTTTTTTTTTTTCTTCAAATATCCGGGTCCACACCCTACTGAGAATTGAGTTTTAGAGCTTTGCCTTTACACGCTTGACCAAGAGGCTTCTTTTGTATCCTTTTCCTGGTCTATAATGTAAATAAAACCCTCAATTTGTGGAACGTGTCTGTGTGTGAAGTTTTTCTCCCCCTCACTTTCCAGCCTTGCTTGAGGTTCCTGCAGCGTCCAGCCAAGGCTGACTTCACACGGGGACCTCCCTGGGGCACCCAAGCCACCACAAGGAGCCCAGTGCTGCCCCAAGGCCCAAGGGGAGGGAAAGGGTCCCCGATTCATCTGGAACTCTGCTTAGGTCTTAAGGAGGGGAAGCGGGGGCGGTTCTCAGGAAACCCAGCAGAATAGGGTTCAGCTGAGACTCCTGTCTCAGCTCCTGCATTTGTTGGAGGTGAACATTTCCAGAACCTCCAATAGTTGAAAACCGACCGCTGTGCCCCGGAGCCAAAATAGGTAGCTTGAAGACAGCGTCTGGGTTTATTACTTTGCGCGAGGCAAAGGAGACTGCAGCCGGCTAATGCCTCCAAGATTGCAAGCCCACCCAGGGTAAAAAGGCTGAGGGGTCTTAGAGAAAAACGCAGGATCGGGGCAGATTCAATAGGAATCTGTTCACCCTGTCTTCAAGCTGGCTCTGGCCATCGGAGTGTTGTTACTACGTTACTACGTATCAGCATCGTACCGAGCTCCTGGAATGAAGGATTTTACAGAAAAGCGAAGGGGAGAGAGGGAGAGGCTTCAGGAACGAAGAGAGAAACTTGTTTAAAGTCACGCCTTGCTGAAGCATGAGTGTGTCCATCTTAATTTCCGTCCATCTTTACGTTTCTATTGGGGTTTCACGATTTTGATGGAGAGGCTCGGGTGGGACCAGGAAGCTGCGTTTTTCACTAGTGGCTTAGAAGATGGGGAAATGCTGGCCCCCGGGGGCTGCTGCAGGTTGCAACTGCCAGTGGACTCCCCAGGTGGGAGCCTGGGGTCTGACCTGAGCCGGGGGTGGGGGCGGGGGGGGGTACCTGGCAGGTGCCAGCCCCAGGCGAGGCATATGTAACATGCCCTTTGACTGAGTCTCCACAGAAGCGGTGGGAAAGGGCTTGGTGGGAGGGAAGGGTACCCAGTGCAGCCAGTGGGGATGTGTGAGTTTTCCGACACCACCAAGCAGCTGTCTGACACCAGTTGGGTGTTCTACAGTTTAATTCCATTCTAGCACTATTCTCTGGAGAGAGCATCGGATCCCACAGATGGAAGGGCTTAGTCCTACAAGACTGGTCCAAGTTGCCACCTGTGCTTTTGATGGACCAGCTAAAGATCGGAAGTTCCAACAACACCCTCCTTGGGTTCTGTTAATTTGATAGAGCAGCACACAGAACTGGTAGGAACATTTTACTCCCTTTACCTGTTTATTATAAAAAGGATCCAACTCAGGAGCAGCTGGATGGAAGAGATGCACAGGGCAAGGTCTGAGGAGAGGGTACAGAGCTTCCGTGCCTCTCCAAACACACCCGTCTCCCCAAATCTCCAGTGTGTTCACCAACCTGGAAGGTCTCCCGAAGCCTGTTTTTAGGGAGACATCATTAGTAGGGTGATTGATTAAACCAGTGGCAATTGGTAATAGAATTCAATGTCCATCCCCTCTCCTCTCCCAGGAGTTCTGGAGGGAGGTGGAAAGTTCCAAATCTTTAATCACAGGGTTGGTTCTTTGGGCAACATGGAGGCTTGCCTATTAGCATAACAAAAGACACCTTGCCTGCTCTCAGGACTTAGACATTCCAAAAGGGTTTTAGGAGCTTGTGCCAGGAACAAGGACCAAGACCAACTCTGTCTTTCTTTCTTTCTTTCTTTTAAGATTTTACTTATTTGAGACAGAGCATAAGCGGGGGGGAAGGGACAGAGGGAGAGGGAGAAGCAGGCTCCCCGCTGAGCAGGGAGCCGGATGCAGGACTGGATCCCAGGACCCTGGGATCATGACCTGAGCCAAAGGCAGAAGCTTCACAGACTGAGCCACCCAGGTGTCCCACCAACCATATATTTCTGATTATGAATCACAATAACACAAGCAGGTCAAGAGAAGCAGAGTGGTCCTGGGTTGCCTCAGATTATACTCCCTGGCAGGGCGGGGGTCACGTGTGTCCACTGGCTGTTAGGCATAGAGCAAAGCAGGAAGTGGGGGACCTTGGTATCTTCAGCCACTTTGGAATCGCCCCTTTCTGCCCCGGCACCTGCACTTTATCAGAAAACCCCCGACCGGCGTCTGTGACCAAGAAGCAGGACCTGAGCTCAGGCCTCCTGCACCTTCCAGTAGTCCTCCAGGCACAGCGGCCCCCCTGCAGACAGTGGTCCTGGGGCTAGGAAACCCTCCCAGCAGGTTCAGATTCAGGGAGCTGCTGCTGTGGGGTTTGCCCCCACGATGTCCTCCCCCCATCCCCCGACTCTGCAGGAGCACCGATAAACTGAATTTAACTTTGTGATGCCATTATCCTCAAACTTTTTTTTTTTTTTCAGATTTTTTATTTATTTATTTGACAGAGAGAGACACAGCGAGAGAGGGAACACGAGCAGGGGGAGTGGGAGAGGGAGAAGCAGGCTTCCCGCTGAGC